GAATTCTGGCCACTGGCCTCCTGCTCAGCAGCTCCCCACTCCTTGCTGCCTAGCCTGCTGGGCCTCTTCCTTACCCGGGACAGAGGGGGCAGGGCACAGTGCTAAAGCGTTGGGCACCTCACCAGTGGGCCAGAGAGCTTTCAGGGTAGGGCTCAGCTGGTCAAGAAGGGCTGACCAAAGTTGTCCTTCTGAAGACTCTGAGTGGCCAGCCCCCTGCAGTCCCTTGGAACCCACCTTCCCTCTCCCTACCACACACACACACACCCTGAAACATGCCGCTCTGTCATTCCTGGTCCCATTCTTGGGTCCAGTGAGGAGGGGATTTCAGACACCCACTTAGTAGCTGAGAAGAGGTAGTAGCCACGGTGTACAGCCTCCAAGCCAGGCAGGATTTGACTGGGCAGGGGCTCTCTGGGCTGGCAGGTATCCGAGGACAAAGTCAAACCCCTGCACTTTCGTCCTGCCCCTGGACCTGGCACTTCAAGCTCATGTGGGGCAATGACGCCATCCCCTCCTGGGCATGGGGTTTCGATATCCCTCTGAGCACAGCCAGCTGGCGACAGTCTGAACCTTGCCCTGCCTCCCCAGACACTGAGTGTCACAGTGCCTAAGGGAGGATGGCTTGCCCTCCAAGGTGGCATCTGCCTATATGCCACAGCAGACTCATGCCCTCTGTTTGGCATGCTCTTGTCCAGTGCCTGCAGAGCACCAAGTTGTGCCCATGGGCAGAAGGTAGTAGGTACAGGCATTGATCTGCTAGCAAGTAACTTGGGGCAGTTACCATTAGACAAAGAGTGCGGGGGCCAGGCTGAGGGACAGACCCGGTGTAAACAAACAGGCTTCAACCACGATGAGTGCAAACTAGACATGGCCCCAGGCACGGGGGAGGGGTGCTCCTGTTTGCAGCCCAGCCCTGTGTGTCTGCCTGCAAGGAACTAGCAAGCTGGGTCTCTGGGCAAAAGACCTTTCCCACCCTTAGTCTCTGCCCAGATGGCATTCTCTTTGCCAGCCACTGCATGGCAAAGCCTGGATTACCCAGAACCTCCAATCATCCAGGATGCTGTTGGCACTCTGTTGGTAGCACACAAACAGCAAGAAAAGGAGTTCTTGGACGTTTGTTTACAATAAAACAAGATGCTTTCATGCTCTGCTAGCCTGCCAGTCTCCAGTACTGCCTGTCCCTGTCTCTGTCCAGAGTGCTGGAGAGCAGCCCCACGCTCTGCCTCCGAGCTCAGCCTCCCAAGGACCTATTCAGGGAGTGAGAGGCACGCAGGAACACAGACACAGACCTGGACACGAGGTGGGGCTTTGAGAAAGGTTCCTTCCCTCACCAGTTGTCGTTTTTTGACTGAGTAGCTTGTGGCAGGGTCAGTTACACCAGCTGATGTTCAGTGACCATTTACTTCACGCCTGGGTATTCTGTAACCATTTTCAAGTATGCTCTTGTTTAAGCCTCACGATTGCTTTACGAGGCAGGTGCTATTATTATCCCCAGGTGAGGAAACTGAGGCACAGGGAAGTTAAGTAAGTTGGCCAAGGTCATGGCACCTGGGCAGAACCAGGGTTCCAACCCGCGTAGTGTTGCTCCAGAACCCCAGCTGTTCAGGACAGTGCTTTGCCTAAGGAGAGAAGATTTTTGCATAGAGCCGTAGGGAGCTAGAAAGCCACATAACTTTGGTTGGAAGGAGACTTTCTTGGGGTGGAGGGGACAGTGTGCGGGAATGAGGCAGGATCTTCCAGGCCACGCAGGGGGTCAGCTCGCCCCTGACAGCTCCGCCTGGCGCGTGGCAGCAGGTGGGCCGCACCCCAGCGTGGAGGTGCTCAAACTGGACCTACAGTCACATCATGCGGGGAGCTCTACAGAAACCTTGTGCCCAGACCACACCCCATACCAATGAAATCAATCTCTGGTGGTGGGTTTGGGGCTTGATAATTTTAAAAACTCCTCAGATGATTCCAATGTGCAGATAAGATAGAACCACTAAGTTAGACCAGAACCTCCCATCAACCACATTTCATCCCTGAAGAAGCTGCAACCTCCCTCTTCCCCCTCCTCCCAATGGCCCTCATGTATGTGTGTGTGTGTGTGTGTGTGTGTGTGTGTGCGTGTGCGTGTGCGTGTGTGTCTGTCTGTCTACATCAGGATGAGAAGAGCAACAGCCCGGCCGTGAGAGCTGACACTTGGCTGGGAGGATGACAGAAGTGAGCTCTGTGGACTTGCCTCCCACCCTCAGGGTTCCCCTTCCACGGACCCTCCTGTCCCTTGGACCCTAGACACGTAATGTGCTGCCCCAGGGCCCACAAACCCCTCTCCTGCTAGCACAGCCCGCTCACCTGGCATTTTCAGAAGGAACTTTATCAATAAGTCAAAGGCAGTGGAAGCAGAGAAGTAGTAAGTGGGTCGGTTCCCGACGTACATGTTTATGCCGAAGAATCCTAGTGCAAGTGGAGAGGAGCTGGCCCGCGTCCCCGCACCTGTCACTCGGGAGCCCACCGTCCTGCCTGGGCGGGCGACAGCCTGGCTCACGAGCGGTGTGCTGGAGGCATGCCCAAGTCCAGTGGCCTCCCCTTCCACCATCTTGGTTCCTAAAACCTGGTTTCATTGGCAGGGCCCTGCCTAACTCATTCCCACCGTGGTGATTTAGGAGCTTTTCTTCCTACTTTTCCAGTTCTCAGGGGGTCTTGTATCTCAGACAGTGATTATTTATTTATTCATTTATTTATTTATTTTTCTTTATTGATATTTAGAGGAAGGGAGAAGGAGAGAGAGAGAGAAACATCGATGAGAGAGAGCATCGATTGGTCGCCTCCTGCATGCCCCCCACTAGGGATCGGGCCCACAACCTGGGCATGTGCCCTGACCAGGAATCGAACCAGCAACCTCCTGGTGCATGGGTTGATGCTCAGCCACTGAGCCACACCGGCCGGGCTCAGACAAAGATCTTAAACCTGAGCAGAAAGAGTGGTCAAGTTGGTATCTTGCAAGCATGGAGATACCTGCTTCTGTCATCCTCCCAGCCAAGTGTCAGCTCTCACGGCCGGGCTGTTGCTCTTCTCATCCTGATGTAGACAGACAGACAGACACACGCACACGCACACACACACGCACACACGCAAGCAACTGTAACTTGCAAGCATGGAGAAGGATTTACAAAGGAGCCCGCACATCCTCCTGCGCCTGGCAGGAGCCTTGAGGGGCGGCGATTTCTTTTCCATCTGCATGTACCGTCACCTCTCCCTTGACACACACCCAGCAGGTTAGGCAGGTGTTAGATACAGCCGCTGCCAGCAACCGGAGAGGGAACGGCAGACACTTAATGAGAGACAGCCTTGGGGGAATTGGCCCTGGGGATCCCCCTGGGTGCTGCTCACCTGCCACTTCCTGTGGAAGCCTTTGGTTGCTCTCTCCCGTCCCGTCCCCGCCTGACCCAGCTGGGCATGGACTTCGCAGAGCTCGTATGAAGCAGCAGGCAGCAAACCAGGGCCTCTGCTCTGCTGCTTAGTAGCTGTGTGCCCTTGAATGTCAGTCTTTTCAGAACCTCAGTTTCCTCATCTGTGAAGTGGGCAGAGGGGCACTTGTGCTGCTCAATCCTCAAAGCTGTGGGGAGAATTGAATGGAAGTGCTTTATAAACTGGAATGACATGCACCTATAAGGAAGTGTCCTGAGCTAGTGACCTCTCCTTCCCTTTTCTCCAGAAGAGTTAGGGGGTAGGTACATCCAGTTACCAAGCCCAGAGGGAAGGAGTATAACAGAGGGGATTCAGTTGAGGGGGCTCTTCCCAAAGAGTAGAAAGCACAGCCGACTGTGGGCTCTTCTCACCCCCTTCCAGGCGCCACCCACTCCTTACCGCAGGGCTCTGGGCATGGGAAGGGAAGGATACTGCAGAACCCCCACTAAGGTCAGGGGCTCGGTGTCCAGTCACCCGGGAGGTGGGGTGGGCAGGCCCAGGCAGCCTCTTTGAAAGCCCTGGGGCAGCGGAGTGATTGGGGCCCCTGGTTGACTCAGCGGTTCTAGAGAGCAGTTGGACAAGTGTATACACATAGCCTTGACGGAGCAGCCCTCCCTCCTCGTGGACATGCATCCAAAGACAGTGTCTCACCCGCCCTTAAAGACAGGTGGAGGCCACCTGGTGTTCATCGCTGGCAGAGCAGAGGGGTCGAGTGTGTGGGACACAGGATGGTGTTCTAGGCAGACAGATCAGACATACACAGGGCCTTGTGGGTGGATGGTAAAATACGGCTTAGTCATCAGCATCACTAGTATTGGGCACTGATACCCTTCTCCACTGACAGGACTCAGGACTTCCTGGTGGCTGGTGCCAGGGCTGTGTAGACTGGAGATGAGCCTTACTGGAACGTAAGGAAGTGCATCCCAAAACTTTGGGGGCGTGTCAAAAGTCACTGGAGCCAGATTGAAGGAGCTTCTACTGGCTAAATCTGGGACAATCTGAGCACCAAGATAATGAAATACAGTAATGAATTGTAAGAAACAGTAGTCCATATGGATCATAAATGGATGGATGGGAGGGGAGGCTTATGATTAGATTGCTGAGGGACTGCTGGAGCCAGAATATCACCATTTTGTCACCAACATGAAGAGCAGATCGGCAAGAATCATCCGTGGATGTTGGGGAGGAGCAGGGTGTTTGCATGCTCTTAAAGTGTCCCCACGTTTTGTTTCTCCATCCGTGTGTTGGGGACACTTGGCTGTATAGTGCTGCTGTGTACACTTGTGCTCAAACATTTGAGGACCTGTTTCAATTCTCTCCCTTCTACGCAGGCGTGGAATTGCTGGGATAAATGGGAATCCTGTGTTTATTTTTTAGGATGCTTTTCTGCATGTGGTTGTAATGCCCTGGTGGACCCCGCTGGCCCCTCACGCAGGGCTGGGCACCAGGAGCTGAGCCCATGTGCGGTGGTGAATGGAGAGCTGCTCCCGCTGAGTATCAACGTCTTCCTGTTCCGTGGGCCCCCTGATTTCTCCTTCTCTTCCCAACAGATGTGCCCGTGGAGAAGCTGGCCGCCATGCCTGCCTTGCGCAGCATCAACCTCCGCTTCAACCCGCTGAACGCCGAGGTGCGAGTGATCGCCCCGCCTCTCATCAAGTTTGATATGCTCATGTCTCCAGAGGGGGCGCGGGCCCCCCCGCCTTAGGCCCCCCTCCTGATGCCCACCCAACAAGGGACAGAGGCCACTTGGCCTGGCACCCTGAGGGGAGGGAGTCCCAAGGGCCCATGGGAGGCCAAGCGCGGGGGCCTGGGGATGGGTGGGCCAAACAAGGAGTGGTGGGAGGGTGCAGCGGTCCAGGACAGATAGCTTAGAGCAGTAGTGGGTCCCGCCCTGCCCAGAGGGAGGAGATGGGGTGGGGGCGAGCCCGGGCTCTGGGCATTCAGAGCCTCTGTGCAAACTGGGGCAGACCCCACCTTCTCTGAGACCTGTAATTTGGGGAAAGGTGTCGTGGCAGTGGGCCTTTGCCTCCCTTGGGCTCCTTGGAGGCTTTTTAGGGAACACATGCCTCCAAGTTATCCTCAGTACCTTCTGGGCTCGCAGCCGAGCCTCGCTGAGCATTTCCTGGGCTCCTGTGGGTTGAGGCCTTGCTTCTAGTGCTGAGAGCCAGCCACTGCCCTGAGAAGAATAGAAGACAACCTGCATCTATTTATTGCTTCCTGAGAACCCACCCACTGAGGCCCTTCTCCGTGCCCCGTCCTCAGCCCTGGGGGTCCCTGGATTGGCGGGAGCCCGAACCGGGAGTGGTGGGGAAGCTGCAGAGGGAACATGGATGCTGCAGCAGGGCCGACACTGTTTACACAGGAGCCCAGGGAACCTGGGGAGCAGTCAAGTTGGCTCTGTCATTCCTCATGATCAAGAAATTGCCGGGGTGGGAAGTTCTGAGTGCTCCCGCCCTCCCTCGGGAGTGACCAGCTGTGCCTGGCATCACCCCCTGAGCTGCGGGAGAGTGGCCAGAGAGAAGGGAAGACATGGGCACCTGTGCCCCCTCAGCAGGCTCCCTCAGGCAGCAGTCTGGCTGTCTTGTCATTAGAGGCATCAGGCGCTGTGGACCACTGGATTTGTAGCCGGGCAGCTCCCAGGCCACCCCCCAAAGCCCTGATACCCTCGTCATTTCTAGGCCCTCTGGAGGCAAGGGTCTGGCCAGGCAATAGGGTGACCTACCACCCATGTTTGCTCGGGACACGGGACTTTCGATGCTAACACAAGGACAGCACCAGCAAATAGGGTGAGGGCCTGGGGTCCTTTAGTTCTGTGACAATACCTGTGGTTTGGAGAACCCCTGACCTCTCGGTCCTACAGGTATCTACCTCCCATCTTCTCATCTGTGGAGCAAGCAGGCCAGGGCCCACCTGGCCTGGCCTTTTGTCTGAGTCTGCGGTAGATACCTGAGTCCCAGGACTTGGGGCAAACCAGGCCACCCAAATCCTACGTCCGCGGACCAGTGGCCACACTTCCACAACTTGGGTTAAGCTGTTCAGAACTTAGACCACCACTCAGAATGCTCCCATTTCCTTCCCCTTCCTCGGCCCCAAGGCTGCCCTGCCCAGGCCTCCTGTCTCTCGGTAAGAAGCTGACAGGCTGTACGTTGTCGCCTGTCACTGAGCTCTCGAGAACGCAGTGTTCCAAGAGGTGCCTTGTTCGTTCTGCGCATCCCCCAGGCCTGGCGGGCGAAGTTCTGGGAACAGGGTTTTCAGGGTGAGGAGGCCAGGTCCGCTCCCTAGGACCACTGAGTTCAGTTGGGGACAAGTGAGGGCTGCAGTCAAGCCCAGCCTGGCCTGGCCCCTCTCACCCTGTGTCCTGGAGTGGGGTTTCTCCTTGTTGAAGAAGGGGTGCATTGTCCTGATATACAGAAAGGCATTGTATGGCCAGAGTCTTGCAACTCAGTGTGGTCTATGGGTGCGCAGCATCAGCATCTGTGGGTACTTGCTAGAAATGCAGGACCCCAGGCCCAATCCCAGACCTTGGGCATCAGAACCCGTGCTCCAAAAGATCCCCAGGTGATTCCTACAAGCACTTTATTGTTTGAGAAGCAAGGACCTGGGGTGGCCCTAGGGATGTACTGGGAGTGAAGGGTGGAGTTGTCTCAGCTTTCCCAACCCCAAGTCCGTACCCATCCCTCCCCAGCTTGGGCCCCTCACCCCAGCTCGGGCCGCTGGGTCCTTTCAGAGTCTGCGTGGCACTCCTGGGAAGGGAGGGACCTGGAGTCACTAGGAGACGAGGATTGGGTTTGCCTGGCCCTTGGGCCTGCCTTTCTGGTTCACCCCAAATGCCAAGCTGCTGCTTCCCCAGGTCCTCATCTCAGACCCTTCAAAGGGGTTGTTTCTGGAAGCTGTTTTCTACTCTGCTGGGAGAGTTTGCCCCGACCTCTCTGGGAAAGTTTGGGCTCACAGAGAAGCCCAGATCAGAGCCCACAGTGTGAGCCCTTAGCTTCAGTCTGCAATAAAGAATGTGTTGGTTTCACCTGCCTGGTTGGTGTTCGATTCACTCTCCCCACACAGGTCTCCCACAGCCTGGGTAGCAAACCTGCCCGCCTGAGAAGAGGAGGGGCTACCCCTCGGGTTGAAAGCTAGACTCAGTGATGCTGAGTAGGGTCGGCGGGCTGGCGAGGGTGCAGCCAGGAGGACTGGCGCATGCTCCAACGCTACGCTGCTCAGGGCAGCGACCCGTCAGCTCTGGGACACCCTTGTACCTGGGAAAGGATGAAGGAACCTGTTGTCCTCCAATTTTCCTCTTACCTATGCCAGAAATCACACCCTCAGCAATTCATTCCTCAGGGCCCGTGGCTCTCAAAGCGGGGTCTCTGGACCAGCAGCACCGACATCGCCAGCGAGCTGGTAAAACATGCAGACTGTCAGTCTACCCCAGGTCCACAGAATCGGACGTTCCCTCCAGCACTCCAGGTGTCCTGATGCAAGTTAGAAACGCCCCTGGGTTCAAGGTTTAAGCCAGTTTTTGTTCTCTAAACCTGAAAGGCCAACCTGAGTTTGCCTTGATTTTAGGCCAGACATGCCATCATTATTATTATTTTTTATTAGTTTTTTTAATCCTCACCTGAGGATATGTTTCCATTTATCTTCAGGGAGAGGGAGAGGGAGAGGGAGAAACATCCATGTGAGAGAGACACATCGGCTGGTTGCCTCCCACTGTTTTTGTTCAGCAAACACCGTAGAGCTCAGTGCCATCAGGCGGTGTCTGAGCACGTGAGAGGGAAGGACGCGTTTAATCCCTGTACCGCCCCGAGCTAGCTCTGCGAGCTGGACAGACCCCTCTCTCTGGCCTGGGTCCTGTCTGTGAAGTAAAGGGCCGCACAGGGAGAACCTGGCCAGGCTCAAACGTGGTCGGCCACCCCCGGAGAGCTGCCCACTTTTCTCCGGAGGCTTCCACACCGTCCCGAAGCCATGTTCTTCCTGACACTGTGGAAATGGACCTGAGCCCACCTTGAGCTAGAAGCCCTCACCACCACCCAGGGTGCGGGACCCAGGCCGGAGCTGCAGCTCCCCAGGGTGCCCAGCCCCTCCTCGAAAGAAACTCCTTAGCTTGGGTCTCTGGCGGGAAATGTAAACCATCGGAGTGAGAGAGTTCTGGTCCTAACCTCCCCCGGACTTTAGATGGGTGGAGCGACCTGCCCAAGAACGTGCAGGGAGCTCCTGGCAAGAGCCCACACCAATGCCCGGCTGTCCCGGCGTCTGCCCTGGGGTCCTGCTGGGACCCTGGATGCGTGTCGGTGTTTGGAGCTTGTCTGCTTAGTGCTCCTGGCCTCTCCTTGACCGAGCTCCCTACTTGCTCTGTGGGCATAAATCAGCCATTAGAACCCGCGCTGTGGTTTATAAGTGCAGATAACCAGGCTCCCCTTCCCTGGGGAGAGCTCACTAATGACCGTTGGAAACCATTTGAAGGCAGTGGTCCTCAGAGGCTGGCTGAGGAGAGGGAGGGGCACCTGCTGGCTCCCAGGCAGGGACTCTACCTTGGTCTAGACCTCAGCCTCTCTGCAGCCCCCCTGACCTTACTCTTCAAGGGAACAGCCCCCCCCCCCCAACAAATGCTGTAAACTCTAGCTGTGTGCTGGGGGTCTGCTTTCCAGGGGCCATGTTGCCACCAGGCTGAGACCACCTTACACCTTTCTATTTATTTATTTATTTATTTATTTATTTATTTATTTATTTAATCCTCACCCGAGGACATTTTTCCATTTTTTGTTCAGGTAGTGGGAGGGAGAGAGAGGAACAGAGAGAGAGAGAAACATTGATGTGAAAGGAACACATCGAGTGGCTGCCACCCGCACAACCAACCAGGGCCGGGGACACACTGCAACCGAGGTACATGCCCTTAGCGGGAACCGAACCCGGGTCTCTCAGGACCGCAGGCAGACGCTCTAACCGCTGAGCCAAACCGGCCTTACACCTTTCTAAATGGTGGCTATGCCAGTGGCCTTCCTCACCCCAGAGACCCACATGTACTTCCAGCTTGAGAGAGAGGCTGGATCTCCCCCCGAGATGCTTGGCTTGTCCACCCGCAGGCAGGCACCCACAGGGCACTCTGCAGCCTCAGGCCCGTCCTTTGCTCAGGCATCTCAGAACAAGCTCCACTGCACCCATCACACTCACTGAGGACCTGTGACCAGGAAGGGTGCCGGGGCATTACCCTCCAACGAGGGCCTGTGACCAGGAAGGGTGCCGGGGCATTACCCTCCAACGAGGGCCTGTGACCAGGAAGGGTGCCGGGGCATTACCCTCCAACGAGGGCCTGTGACCAGGAAGGGTGCCGGGCATTACCCTCCAACGAGGGCCTGTGACCAGGAAGGATGCCGGGGCATTACCCTCCAACGAGGGCCTGTGACCAGGAAGGTGCCGGGGCATTACCCTCCAACGAGGGCCTGTGACCAGAAGGGTGCCGGGGCATTACCCTCCAACGAGGGCCTGTGACCAGGAAGGGTGCCGGGATATTACCCTCCAACGAGGGCCTGTGACCAGGAAGGGTGCCGGGCATTACCCTCCAACGAGGGCCTGTGACCAGGAAGGGTGCCGGGGCATTACCCTCCAACGAGGGCCTGTGACCAGGAAGGGTGCCGGGGCATTACCCTCCAACGAGGGCCTGTGACCAGGAAGGGTGCCGGGGCATTACCCTCCAACGGGGCCTGTGACCAGGAAGGGTGCCGGGGCATTACCCTCCAACGAGGGCCTGTGACCAGGAAGGTGGCCGGGGCATTACCCTCCAATGAGGGCCTGTGACCAGGAAGGGTGCCGGGGCATTACCCTCCAACGAGGGCCTGTGACCAGGAAGGGATGCCGGGGCATTACCCTCCAACGAGGGCCTGTTGACCAGGAGGGTGACCGGGGCATTACCCTCCCAACGGGCCTGTGACCAGGAAGGGGTGCCGGGGCATTACCCTCCAACGAGGGCCTGTGACCAGGAAGGGTGCCGGGGCATTACCCTCCACGAGGGCCGTGACCAGGAAGGATGCCGGGACATTACCCTCCCAACGAGGGCCTGTGACCAGGAAGGATGCCGGGCATTACCCTCCAACGAGGGCCTGTGACCAGAAGGGTGCCGGGGCATTACCTCCAACGAGGGCCTGTGACCAGGAAGGGTGCCGGGGCATTACCCTCCAACGAGGGCCTGTGACCAGGAAGGGTGCCGGGCATTACCCTCCACTGAGGGCCTGTGACCAGGAAGGGTGCCGGGATATTACCTCCAACGAGGGCCTGTGACCAGGAAGGATGCCGGGGCATTACCCTCAACGAGGGCCTGTGACAGGAAGGGTGCCGGGGCATTACCCTCCAACGAGGGCCTGTGACCAGGAAGGGTGCCGGGCATTACCCTCCAACGAGGGCCTGTGACCAGGAAGGGTGCCGGGACATTACCCTCCAACGAGGGCCTGTGACCAGGAAGGATGCCGGGGCATTACCCTCCAACGAGGGCCTGTGACCAGGAAGGGTGCCGGGGCATTACCCTCCAACGAGGGCCTGTGACCAGGAAGGATGCCGGGACATTACCCTCCAACGAGGGCCTGTGACCAGGAAGGATGCCGGGCATTACCCTCCAACGAGGGCCTGTGACCAGGAAGGGTGCGGGGCATTACCCTCCAACGAGGGCCTGTGACCAGGAAGGATGCCGGGGCATTACCCTCCAACGAGGGCCTGTGACCAGGAAGGATGCCGGGATATTACCCTCCAACGAGGGCCTGTGACCAGGAAGGGTGCCGGGATATTACCCTCCAACGAGGGCCTGTGACCAGGAAGGGTGCGGGGCATTACCACGGGCATTACCTCCAACGAGGGCCTGTGACCAGGAAGGTGCCGGGCATTACCCTCCAACGAGGGCCTGTGACCAGGAAGGATGCCGGGGCATTACCCTCCAACGAGGGCCTGTGACCAGGAAGGATGCCGGGATATTACCCTCCAACGAGGGCCTGTGACCAGGAAGGGTGCCGGGGCATTACCCTCCAACGAGGGCCTGTGACCAGGAAGGTGCCGGGGCATTACCCTCCAACGAGGGCCTGTGACCAGGAAGGGTGCCGGGCTATTACCCTCCAACGAGGGCCTGTGACCAGGAAGGATGCCGGGATATTACCCTCCAACGAGGGCCTGTGACCAGGAAGGGTGCCGGGCATTACCCTCCAACGAGGGCCTGTGACCAGGAAGGGTGCCGGGGCATTACCCTCCAACGAGGGCCTGTGACCAGGAAGGGTGCCGGGGCATTACCCTCCAACGAGGGCCTGTGACCAGGAAGGGTGCCGGGGCATTACCCTCCAACGAGGGCCTGTGACCAGGAAGGGTGCCGGGACATTACCCTCCAACGAGGGCCTGTGACCAGGAAGGGTGCCGGGGCATTACCCTCCAACGAGGGCCTGTGACCAGGAAGGGTTGCCGGGACATTACCCTCCAACGAGGGCCTGTGACCAGGAAGGGTGCCGGGGCTATTACCCTCCAACGAGGGCCTGTGACCAGGAAGGGTGCCGGGGCATTACCCTCCAACGAGGGCCTGTGACCAGGAAGGGTGCCGGGACATTACCCTCCAACGAGGGCCTGTGACCAGGAAGGGTGCCGGGGCATTACCCTCCAACGAGGGCCTGTGACCAGGAAGGGTGCCGGGGCATTACCCTCCAACGAGGGCCTGTGACCAGGAAGGGTGCCGGGGCATTACCCTCCAACGAGGGCCTGTGACCAGGAAGGGTGCGGGGCATTACCCTCCAACGAGGGCCTGTGACCAGGAAGGGTGCGGGGCATTACCCTCCAACGAGGCAGGCAGACCTTCAGTCATGCTGTTGTCCCCTTTGACCTCCCTCGCTGCCCCGCCAAGTTTGATTCTAAGAAGAGTGCCCTCCGCTTCCTCCCTCTCTCCCAGTGGACCCTTCTCCAGGCAGATGTCCACTGATTCCAGTTGGCACAGGAGGCTCTTCCTTCAAGGACCTTCTCGAACCCACTGGCCTCCT